CCGGGCAGAGCAGCGGCTCCCTTCATCAACTCTCAAAGACAGGTCACATTCAGAAGGCAGAGACCACTGGCCCCACGAGGACCAGAGATAATCACCCCTCCAACCCCAGTCCCCAGCCGGGAGACCCTGCCCCTGCAGTGCCACACTCTGGCAGGGTTGCCTGACTCTTAACCAGGGCCAGGTCCAGCGTGGATCTGGTCCCAGGAGGGTGGGCTACAGGGGATTGCATGGACCCCGCCGGTTGGCCCTGCACACCCCGTAAGACCAGCATTCCTTCCTCTCCGGGGTTTGGCACCCTCCTGACCTTTGCTCATGATCACTTTGTATCCTAGCAGCTGCTCTGGAGTGCCACTCTCTGGCAGTCAGGAGGCCCGGAAACCAGCATTCCCAGCACAAAGGCCTGTTGGTCTTTGACCCTGGCCCCTCCCAGGGAGCCTGGTCCCACCTTCCTCCTTCCTTTCTTCCCTGCTGACGTCTCTTTCTGTTCCCTACCTCCTCACTTCCTTCCATGCCCTTGCCCTGACTGGTGGTTTGTTGTTGTTGGTTTTTTGCCCCCAGCTTCTTGCCCACACCAACCCTTCCATGCTGTCTTCAAGTCCTGCTTCCTGCACATCTCCCAACCCGGACAAGGAGAACCCAAGGAAGAAGGTCCAGTGGGCTTCCGGGAGGAGGAGGACATCATCCACAGACTCAGAGTCCAAGTCGAATCCTGATCTCTCCAAATTACCAAAGTCGCGGAGACCCAGCCGGCTGACAGTGAAGTATGACCGGGGGCACCTCCAGCGCTGGCTGGAGATGGAGCAGTGGGTGGATGCGCAGGTCCAGGAGCTCTACCAGGTGAGTCCCATGCAGGGTGACCGGTGGGAGAAGACAGCCGCTTGGGGCCAGCCAGGGGCTAGGAGAGAGCCTCGTGGAGAACCCCAGGGAACTGGGGGCCCTGTAAGATGCTCCCATGGTGACAGATAGGAGGAGGAAGCATGGGTTTGGAATCCAGAGATCTGCCTCCTCCTGGTCCTAATGCAGCCTGTCACTGTTGCTTATGATCTGGGGCAGGGTTTTGAACACCATTGAGACTGTCCGCGACTCTGTAAAACAGGCCTATCAGTGTGTGCCTAATGTCCTTCACAGAACTTTTTGAGGCTTGTATGAGGGAAAATGCTTTGAGAAGTATAAAAGGTCAGGCTAGCTTTCTCTACGTTGTTGCTTTTGAGAATATACATAGCAAAACATATACCATCCAGGCTGATGCCCTATATTTTAGTCGTTTTCAATCTATTGTATCGAATGAGCTAAAGTAGACGTTTCAGTTCCCCAATCATGCTGGCCTCATTTCAAGTGCGCAATGGCCCCCTATGGCTCATAGACATAGAACATTTCCATCATCTCAGAAAGAACGAGGCCGCACTAGAGTGTTAGAGTAACCCAAACAACAACAACCAAAAACCCATTGCCATTTTGTGATCTCAATTCAGGGTGCTCCCGTGTGTTACAGACCGAAACGGAACGCCCCGGGGGTTTTCTTGACTGTCATCTTAACAGACACGGATGAGTTTCCCAAACCGCAACTTGTTAAGGGAGTAGAACGCCCTCTTTCTCCCTCATAGTGCCTGGTGGTGCCAAAGGACTGACCTTGCACTTAGCAGCTCAACTTGTGTTGGAAGGTTCACAGACATGTGCACCTGGTTCTTAAGGTCATAAGACCCACCACGTCAACAGCAAGCATGAAATTGTCAGCACTTAATATACGCTAGGCATAACACCGAGGCTTGCCACGCGTGATGTTCTTGACGCTTCCCCACAGCTCCGTCGGGTAGGTACCGATTTGCAGCTGGAGATGCTGAGTATCTGGCCCCTGGTGCTATCACCAGGCGCTCCAGCTGGGGCCCTGGCTGCCGAGTATGACGGCTTCTTCCTGCTCCGGGGGCTCTTCACACCTGAAGCGCTCAGGAAAAAGCAATGCCCCCGTCCGCTTCAACTGCAGTGACAGGGGAGGAGCAAAGCACTGATGTCTTCCCGGGGCTCCACAGTGGATTCTGACGTGTGCCTGGAGAACGCCAGGAGCCCCACTCACCCCCAGCACCTGGCCTTTGTTTCTCCTCCTTCTGGACTCAGTAGATCTTTTCTCTTCAGGGAAGCAAGGGCCCGGGATTTTTTTTTTTTTTTTGAGTAAGGGTTGTGTCAGGGGCTCTGTGGTCACGGGTGGGGACAGTGACAGACGTGAGGTCATTGTAGTCCATTTGGTCCAAGTGTTGCCCAGGTCCCCAGCAGCATCCTGAGCCGACTCTCGGAGGTGCGGAGATGCCTTGGAGCTGGGAGCAGATAAGGGATGTTGTCTCAGTCTGTCTCTACTCTTATCTTGCAGGACACTTTCTCACTGCCCTCTGCTATTTCCAACACTCTCTTTTTCTCATCCTAGAGCTGGTTTCCATTTCAGATTCCTGTGTCCTTGCATGACAAAGCTAGTGTTTCAAACACCTCAGGGAAAATCCTTTCAGGCATCCGACAGTTGCCAAAGAAACTTGTTTTGCAAGATTAAGGTGAGCGGGTGTGGGGGAGCTGTACAGTCATTAGACCATAACATTGGAAAACAAGGCATGTGGGAGGACCACTCCCAGGCAATGACTGGAATAAAAGGCCTGGCCTGTGGTTGCCATGGCAATTGTCCAAAGGTGCCAGGTGGCAGCTTCTCTCCCAATCCTTGCTCTTTTCAGCAGGAAGTAGCTGCGGGACTGGGGAAATCCCAATGGACGGTCATCTTGGGGTCAAGGAACACAGTCTTCAGCCTTACTCTCTCCCAGCTCTAGCTCACAGACAGAGCCCTGCCCTGCCCACCAGGGCTCAGACTCCACGTGTCCACCTTATCCGACACCAATGAGGACGACCCCAGGATGCTTCCTACTACTTGCTTCATGTAGTTGAATGGATTGGCTGTCCCTTGTTAGAGAGGCATCCCTTTTCTCTCTGAGCACACCGCTTCCCCCGGGTTTGGGTCCTCTGAGGCGACAAGGCTGCGAAACACACACGCAGTTGGAACTCTGGTCCAGAGATGGAATGTGGACTTGGCTTCTAAACAAAGATCTAAACACCCAAGAGTCTCTCTTGCTTGAAGGAGGTCCTTGCTCAACATTGTGCTACTCTCTAGTCTCCTTGTTGTTCGGTTCCCCCGTCAGTTCCAACCCAGCGCCACCAATGTAAAACAGAACAAAATACTTCCAGGTTCCTCGCGGTCCTCACAATCATTGTTATGTTTGAGCCCGTTCTGGCTGACGTGGCATCACGCCATCTCGCTGAGGGTCTTTCTCGTTTCTGCTGACTCTACTGATTGTGATGTCCCTCGCCAGGGACTGGTCCCTTCTGAGAGCAGGTCCAAACTCCTTGAGACCAGCGTTGCATCTTCGCTTCTAAGGAGCGTTCTGGTGACACTCCTTTTAAGACTGATTGGTTTGTTCTTCCGGCGGTCCGTGAGACTTTCCATGTTTTTCACTAGCACCGTATGTCAAAGGCGTCAGTTCTGCGGTCTTCTATAGCTAGTGTCCAGATTCCCCAGGTATGTGAGACCCTTGAAAATACTATGGCTTGAGTCGGGCACACGTTGATCCTTGAAATGACATCTTTACTCTTTAAGAAATTTTTGCAGCAGATTTGCCCAATGAAATAAGTCCTCTGATTTCTTGGCAGCTGCTTCCATGGGTGCTGATTATAGATCCAACTAAAATGCAATCTTTGACAACGTCAGGCTTTTCTGCATTCTTACCATGACGTTGTCTATTGGCTCGGTGGTGAGGATTTTGAGTTTCTTTATTGTGGTAGTTACATAATTTCATGTCAACTTGACATATCAAAGTGTCAGGGTGGAGTCTAGCCTATCAATCAGGTCACAGCCTGATGGTGACTCCTTGTGGGCACGGCCTTCTCATAAAGAGAGTCCTGGGGACGTCTCCCTCTCTCTCTGCCTTCACCTTCCTCCTGGCTGACCCTGATGGTGACCAGCCGGCTGGAGATGTGTCCACCACCATTGGATCCACAAGACCTTGCACCCACTGGCCTATGATATTCCTGCATTCTGCATCATTGCATGTGGCTGCGTAAGTCTGAAGATGGACTTATGGACTAGTATCGGACTTAGGGACTTGAGTTGGACTGGGATGGGATGTTTACTTGATATATAATTACTAATTGATCTAAAGCTCTCTCTTACACATATATGAGTGTCCCTGGATTTGTTTCTCTAGTCAACCTGGCCTAACACAGCAAGCAAGGTTGTCATCTGTATATCACAGATTTTTTTTTTTAATTTGAAGGTTGGTATTATAAAATTTATTAAAATAATGTTCTGAGTTCATAGAAATAGCAAACAACTGGAAATTAAAATGCAAGCTATGTTAATTCCCAACTAAAATTCAGAAGTATCTAATGTATTCACTCGTTAGCTAATTAAATGTCCAAGAAAGACAACACACCGAGGAGAATAAAGTACTGTAAAACAATTGGCTCTTGTCAGGTACCAGAACTGTGGAGTGTGCGTTTCGTATCCTCGAGTTTCAACACTGAAAGACTTTATGGGCAAAATATTGAATCATGCAGGAAGCATCAAAAGAAGATGGAAAGAATACAAGGGGGTAACCGCCCCCCCGCCCCCAAAAAAAGAAACTGGAAAAAGCTTGCTGGACAGTCCTTTCGTAGTACGCATTTTGCTTGCTGGGGGAACATCCAGCAACTTGCTCTGAGTTAGTGCACCCAGTGGTGTCACCTGGGAAGGTTCTCTCAGGTCCCAGTGAATTTTTTCATAAAAGAAGTTTTGCAAAAAAAAAATAAAGAAGTTTTGCTCAAACCTCATTTTTTTGTGATGGCCAATTTAAGAGAACAGCATGCAGCTGTGAAATTTTGTTTCCTGCTCAGGAAAAATTTGGCAGAAACTGTTGTGATGGTGAACACAGTTTACAAGGACAGCAATATGGGAAAAATTAAAGTGTATGAGTGGTTTTCTTGTTTCAAAAAAGGTGAAATATTGATTGATGACAAACCTAGTTGTGGA